GTCTGTATTCCACGAAACCTTCACTGGGGTCAGTGAGAGTTTAGTCCAAGGCACTTAGGCACATCTTCATTTCTTGACCCTTGTGAAGATCATAGGGTAAGTTACAGGTCCTAGTTAATGTGAAGCCTCGTGGTTTAACATAACACTTTCAGTAGCACCAAGGATTATCTCCCTGAAGTCTAGACAGATTATAAAGGGTATAGCCTGGGCCGTGGACCGCAGATCATAGGGCATGAGGACATAAAACACAGGGATGTGAAGAGGGAATGGCAACTGCTACCAGTCTTTCAGGCTGGCACTGAGCATGGAGAGAGGAACCAGATGAAAGGGGAGGAAAGTGAACAGAGTTCATCATTCTCAGTAGGCACCATGGTGCAACTTGTCCTTCTGTATTTAATAGATCAGTACAGATCAAACACATACAAGGCTTGGAGTCATTAACATGAAAGTAAAGAGAAGGCAACAACCCTGGAAAAAGAGGAGGAGTGGAAAGTCTGTTCTCTTTATAATGCCATTTCCTTTATTAAACAAACCTCTTTGTATGTTTAAATGTTTCATAGTCAAAAAACAAGCCCCACCTTGTGTTGGCTGCTCTTTCGACTGATGGGGCTTGTCCTGGTGCCACCTCATGGCAAAAGTCAGATTTGAATTTCCATCAGAGCAGCTGGGATCTGGGAGAATTGTCTGTCCAGCTCCTAGACTCACAGCACTGTAGCTGTTTTGTAAAGAAACTGGCCTGCAAAGCCAAAACAGGTGCTTAACCACAGGAGTGGTGGTGTTTTTATTGTTTTTATTTCTGTTTTGTATTTTTCTGGGAGAAAAAAATTTAACTCTAGGAAGAGTTGTACATTTTTCACATTTGAGATGCCTGTTGAATCTATTCATCATGTCACCAGCCAGCCTGGAGTCTAACTAGAATATAACAGTATCTGCACTACGTGTTTGGTATTGCCTGATAGCTTGCAGCATTGCAGTATCGGCATTGATGTGCTACCCATCACCGTGTTCTATAAATGCAGGTTTGTGATGGCCTTTGTTCAAAACAGTGTTTTAAAAAAGGTTTTAGGGCACTGGGGAAGTTGTTGCCACATTGCAGCTCTTCAAAACGGTGGGAATGGACATGAACCGTCCCAGATAGAACAGTAAACACTTTGCTCAGATTAAAGACCACACAGAGTACAGAGCACTGGGGCTCGAGACAGTGTCCAGCTTTGGGATATACCAGATGTGGTGCTTCCTCTATGAATAAATGGATAGCTTTATTTTTCAAGTCTCAATACAACACATCTCAGTAGCACTAAATTTTTTTCTTAAGCTGAAATGGAGAACAATCATTTCCATGGCAACAAGTGTGATATCATAAATCAGGATTGTGACTTCAGCATAAGACAGATCACAAAATTGGAGTTAGAGGTGGGCATGCAACTGTGTTTATATCTTTGCAAAGAATAAAGGCAGGTTATAAGTTTGCAGAGGAAAGTTGTCTTTAGATATGTGTGCTCTTCATAAATAGTTTTTAAAAGCATTCCTGAGAGTAGTTGTCTTTCCTGATTATTTGTGCAACATCTCAGACAATTATAAGAAAATCTCATTTACAGTCTGTTCTTATCAGCTGGTCATAGTGTGTAACTGGTTATCAGTAACACCTAGGGCTATTGTTTCTGATTAACCCAGTAGTTTCAGACTACAGAATAATGCCCTTTTGGGTTTTTTGACCGACTGATCATGTCTGGTTTCATAGCATATAAATGATTTAAACTTTTTTAACCTATGTATCTTAAGGTTTTGGTTTTTTTTTGGAAAGCTCACAAGTGTGTCCTCCATCCTACGAACAACAGGCAGCTGGGCTCAAGATGCATTCAGTCATAAAAATACTTCTATAAACTGCTGTTCCTTAAAGAGATTTGGCCATCTGTCACTGCTGCAATGTATTCCTCTGGCTAGTCAGATGTTACCCTGACTGGCTGCTGGAGGGATTTGGATTTGGTGTCAACTAACCTAGCTCATGTAAACCTACTTGGAGCTTGCACCACCGGATGATCTGGCCCATTCCGACTCAGAGGTTGGCTCTTTAAATTTGGCATGCAGATGCTGGAATTTTCCAGTTTGCCATTACAAGCTTATTTCTGTATTTCTCTGTTGTTGTCAAGGAGGGGCAAACAGGTCTGTGCAAGCTCCTAAATCACCTGGAAAATAACTGGAAACTCAGACTTACTGCTCAGCAAAAGCTCCCTGGGCCAGGTTCTCAACTGGTATAAAGCAAAGTTGCTTTGCATCTGATGTGGGTCTGGGATTGGGTAACCTGGCTTGCTTCTGGAGTTGAAAGCCCCTGGAAAATGGGTGGTGCGTGAGCATACTGCTCTGAGCTGCTTTTATTTCCTTGTCTGTGGTGCTCTAGGTATCCCCCTTCCTATAGCTGTATGCCTCTGGAAGGGCAGGGACTGTCAACACTTTGGTTACAGTGGTCAGGTGTTAGTGAGATTTTCACTTGCAGCTGGAGAAGACAAAACAGGGTCTCTTTCCAAAACAATGAGCTGTTTGTATGATCAGAAATGCCAGTCTGGGATGAGAAGACCCAGGATTCTGGCATTTGTGTAATGGGCTGAAATCGGACACCACCTCTGTCAGTGAGGCTGGTGGTGCCTCAAGGGTGATTAGGCATCCATAGAAATACCGTAGATCAGGTTATGACTTCATTTATCATAATAAGGAGGGTCGCTGGGAAGGGGGAGGGTATGTGTCAACCCACATGGTCCGTTGGTGCTTTTAGCTGTCCTGGTTCCATATCCGTATGCTTAAGATGCTTCACTGTCCATACAGATGGAGGGGAGAGAAAGCATCTCTGTCATTCAGTGCTCTTGTGAGCTGTGGAATAGCTGCTCTGCTCCGTAGCAGAGGCAGCTGTGAAAAGTGGGATATTTTAAAGCAGGAGGGAGGCGCCGTGGTGGTGGCCATTGTCACTGCTGGGCTGCATCCAGTGGGTGCTCTGCAGTGGTGCTTGCAGGGCTGCACGGGTGTTACTTGTACTGGAAGAGCTTGCCTCCAGGCTCCTCCTGGCTGTGGGGCATGGCTCTGTCTCGCCAGCTTTCAGTCATCTGGTTACTCATGAAAGGCAAGACCTGGAAGGGGCTTTCATCTGAGCGATTTGCCCGGGAGTGCCACTGGCACCGTACCCACCCTACGCGTGGCTGCAGCCAGCACATGCACGCTGCGTGCCTCCTCCCCGCTCCCGACTCAGGGGCTCCCAGCCACTCTGCCTTTCGCCTCTGGTGAAAGACTCTTTCAGCAGAGAATCTCTTCTTGCGTGTGGCTCATGCTCCAGCCTTTCCAGTTTCGTGGGGAGGCTGGTAGGAGAGGGGAAGACACCTCAACAGGTTCAGAGGTAAAGGGAGAGATTTTCTACAGCTCCTCTCCATCGAGCCATTAGATAACTTCTTTATTAGGCTGTGAGCTTGAGTTGAGTTGTCTGGGAGCACCCCTCTCCCCTTGCTTGATCTGGTGGGATTTGGCCTCCTGTGCTTGTAGGTTTTGATGTGTTAGTTTGATACCAACTATCCATCCAAGTAACTTTCATTCCAGCAGGTCAAAGACTTACGCTGAACGACTAGCTAAAGCTCAACAGAAGCCCCTCTTGTGCTGAGCTCTTCCATCAGACAGCCCAAAGCAGGGACAAGATGAGTGACTCCAACTCATACATTGCCCTCTGTGTTATGGTAAACTGAAAAGCCAACTGCTGCCCAGGTTCTTGCAATGCTGACTGACCAAACCCATCGAAAAAGAGGTTGGAGTCCAGGGTAGGCAGAGTGTGGCAATTCAGGTGATGGCAATGGTGGTTTTCCCTGTGGATGGTAAAGGCCTTGAGGGTGCTGCTCCACAAGGACTGGGGAGGGCTGAGATGCTTTGGCGTGGCTCAGGGTATGAGTCTATAGGTGAAACTACTGCTCCATGAAAATCAGCACAACTCCAGCCACTAAAGTCCCAGGAGCTGGGCCTGTCACCTGGATGTGTGCTAGCAGTGATGTTCAGATCTTTAATGGCACTGACGAAGCCAAGTATTGATACCAGCAAGTGTCTTCAAAGTGTTTTAGTTAAGGGAGAAGGCTGCATTTGGTGGTTCTTCCTTCTCTGGTCTCCAGATGACCTGATTCTGGGTTTGCTGAGGGGTCTGTAGCATTTGTGTGCCACGTAGTCCTACAGTGTGAGGTCTGTCCTCCTCTCCTGGGATCTGAGGGAGGGCACTGCTGGAGGAAAGACTCTGGTGTGGGGAAGTCACGGCAGCTTTTATGTTTGCTGCTTCTCAGTAATATTCTAATACCGCTGCCATACAATGCCAACACGAGGAAAATCATTTCAAGTGGATGTTTACCAGCATCGATGCAGAGGCAAGCGGGGCGCAGTGGGGGGAAGAGCCCCCGGAGTGGAGCAGCGCTGGGGCTGGACCCCCGGGCCAAGCCGTTGCTGCAGCCGGAGGGCCAGCAGCTCTTTCATCCCTCCTTGCTCGCCTGCCAGGGGAGGGTTTCGCCACCCCACCTCCCAACTAGCCTGGCAGGGGATGCCGCCTCCCCATTCCACTCCTTCCTGCTTGCACTTTTACCCTTTGCATGCGCGTTTTGCAGCGGCGGCCTCACTTTATTTTTTTTTTTATTTTGTTTTTTTTTTTTTTTTTTTTCCATACCCTTGCATTTTTTCATGCTTCCACAAACCCCAGGCCTTACTCCTTCAAGAGTCAGAAAGAGCAGGGGGGCTGGGAAAGGAGGAAAGGGACAACCCCCCCCCCCCCCGCTCCGACTGGGGCGAATTCCTGTAGGGAAAAGGGGTGGAACCCCCAGTTTTGGGGGCCGGGGCAGCCCGATGCTGCAGCCCCGCAGCGTTCAAACTTGCCGCGGGGCCGGGCCGGGAGCGGGGGGGGGGGGGGGGGGGCGGCGGGCGCGGGGCCGGGCCGGGGGGCCGCACCGCCCGGCCCTGATTTGCTGCGCGGCTCCGAGATTGACAAACTCTTGCCTTGGGTTTAAAAGAAGGGAAAAAAAAGGGGGGTGGGGGGAGAGAAAGAAAAGTTTTTTCGCTGCAGGAGCAGGCAGGGGCCGGGAGTGAGCGCGGCGGAGCCCCCGACAGCCCTCCGCCCGCCCTATGGCTTTATAAAGCGGCTGCTCTCCGGGGGGGGCTGGCGGGGGGGTCTGAGCGGCTTTTCTTCGCTTGTATATATTTTTTTTTTTGTCTCATCCTTTCCCCTCCCCGAGCTGTCCCGAGTTGGTGCCCCGTTTTTTGTGGACCATGGATACGCACACGCGGTGGAAAAGGCGCACTTGGATACGGAGCTGGTCGGTACCCGCTGCCCTGGTGCTGCTGGGTGCCCTGTCCCTCGGCCGGGCAGGTAAGCGGCCCCCGAGCCCCTCCCCGCCCATCCCCGGGGCCTCGGGGCGGCGAGTCCCGGCGGCCACGGGAGGGGAGCGGGTGTCAGCGGGGCCGGGGGGGAGCCGTGCGGGTGGGGAGGGCGAGGTGGCTTTTGTGCGGGGCAAAACGTTTGTCTTTCCTTACTCGATTCATTCCGGGGGAAGGAAAAAAAAAAAAAAAAACAAAAACAAACAAAAAAAAAAAACAAAAACAAAAAAAAACCCTACCAAAAAAAAAAAAGGCAAAACACCAAAAAAACCAAACCAACCAACCCAACTTCTTTTAGCTGCCCGAGTTTCTGAATGCCATTTGTCAGGGGGCCCGTAAAAGGGGGGGAAAAAAAAAAAAAAAAACAACAAACCAACTTTAAAACAATACTTTATTCGCTTTTCTTAGAGCAGAGCTGCCTGTTGCTGCAGTCGTTTTTCTGGAGCAAAAGTCAGGCTGTGTTTCTGGAGGCTCTGGTTCTTTATATATCTGCGTGTAGATATATGTGAATATATATTTAGTCAACTGGGAACCTCCTATCTTGTGTAGTTCCTCCTCTGTGAGGAGAAGAAACTTTTTGTCCAGCGGTAATCTGTTCTCCCCTCTGCACATCAAAGAGGCAGATCTTGATACACAAAAGCTTTGCTCGGGACCCCAAAGCTTGCTCTGCCCCCTCGCCAGCCCCAATTTGCCGGGGTTTCACCCTAAAATTGTGGCCAAGTGTGGCAAGAGGAAGCTCTGTGAAGTACCAGATGTGCAACGGCTCTAGACATGCAGCCAGAAAAACCCTGGAATGTCATTTTTTACAAGCGTGCGGGAGTGGGACTAAGCACTTTATTTCACAAAGTGGAGGCTTTGAGTTTGTTTCGAGAGCTCTGCTTCCCAAATGTCTGCCTTCCCCGGGTGGGCTGTGAAATGCCAGAGGAGGGCAGATGGAGACTTGTGGGTTTGCTGGAAAAGTTTTCTCTATGTTTTCAGAGTGTTTTCTGAGTTTGGAGTGGACACTTGGAGGCATCGGCGCTCTGAGGTCTTTTTATATTGTGTTTCAAGGGAGACTCTGAAGCGGTTTGTTGGCAAAACTGATTTTGAAATCAGAAAAGTTAAAGTAGATGGAGTTCTGCAGGGTAACTTGAGAAACTGAGAAGTGCCCCAAAGAGCTGAGCTGTCTGGGATTCAGCTTTCATGCTTGATTTTTATGTGTTCTGAGTATTTTTTCCTGGGAAGCCCAGGCAGGGTTGGTTGTGTGTTACCAGGACAAATGCGTGTGGGATTCTGTATAACAGCAGCATGACTGCAAATTATTGTAATTTCTAGGTTCTTAAAATGACCTTAAGGAAGAAAGGTGGGCGTGTGAGGAATGCTTTCATTAATGGTTTGCTTGCAAAGTTTGAGCAAGATGGAAAATAAGTTGCTAGTCACTGAATAAAATGCCTGTAGAGCATCACTGCAGGAAAAGTTACGGGCAGTTGGAGATACCAGGAGAGTTCTCGTATTGCAAAAGTATCGGACTGTTAGAGCAGTTTTCAGACTAAAAGAACACTGGAATGATACTAGCTCATCCTGAGCTCCCTTTTTTGTGCAGCCAGCTTGTCAGGCTGCTCTGTTACTTTGTATTAATTGAAAACTGAATTATTACCAGTCTCAACTCTTTCAAAGGGAAGATGACAAAGCGTTCCTTTTTCTTTTGTCTGTGCTAATGTTTTCATGGTTTCCGAGCATCCTTGGGCATTTTGCCTGTTGGTGTATATCCTTCAGACAACTTCAGTGTAAGACCTAGCTGCTTTTAAAACTACCTGGTAACTTTTCTACAACTTTTGGGTCCAGCTGTGGGCTGCAGCTGCAGGAAGCCGAGGGCTGGCTGCTCTAATGCTGCAGTGGGTGTCTGGAGAGCTTTTGTAGGGCCAATGTGCAGCTCCAAGTAATGATTCTTGCAGTGAAAGGCTTTGAGCTTTCCTAATGAGCCTCCTAATAGGACATAAAATAATTTGGATGAGGGAGGAGTCAGACTGGGACTGATGATGGCACTGACTAATGCTCATAAATAGCTCTTTTTTTTAATCTTTCCCAGTGCTCTTTGGTTTTATTTCAGCTCAGGTTGTTTCTGTTTCAGTTTCATTTTGGCTTCTCTGTGTGGAGAGAGGTGAATCTTCTCTGTAATCTTCAGAGGCAGATCCATCAGGTGGCTCCAAAGAAATGAGGAGGACACTTTGCAGAGGGTTTCCAGAAAAATAGAGAAATAGCAGCGTCAAAGGCGACATGAACTGAACTGCCTCTGAACACTGCCATTCCAGCTCAGATTTTCCCATATTTTAACAGATGATGTCACACAAAAATCTAACCCACAGACAAAGTTGGAATCTGTGTCTGCTTTTACAAATCCCTATAAAATTGAATCAGGTTTCTGGGTGAAAATTTTTGGAAGCAGCAGTTTCCTTTAGTGGCAAAGAAAAGTGTAATAAGAATACATGGCATGCCCTTTAAAAGAAATAAAAATGATGGAAATTATGAAGTATCCTGTTACCATCTGTTGCTTCTCTGCTTGGCTCTTCCCCAGTCATCTAAAATGAGCTAAAAAAAAAAAAAAAAATCTTTATCCAGCCAGTTAAAAGTATTTTGTTTAATATTTTGCCAATCAAAAGTGTTGATACTGTTTTACAAGAAGACATATGACTTTATAAGTCTGGAATTGATGGCAGATCTGATTTCCAGTGTAAAACCTGGATTATGCTGTCAATGTATTGCCAGATTGGAACAGGATTTTGTAACTTAAAAGCACCCAGCTGTCGGACATGCCCTGTCCAGGGGATGCAGTAGAGGCATTCAGCTGAGGTAATATATTATTCTTTAATGTAAGTTGGGGTCAAGATGGAAAAAAAAAAAATCTTTGCTGACCGTTCCCTTCAAGGTGGCTTTTGAAGGCTGCTGCTGCGCTCACCTCCCCGCAGTGCCGCAGCCGTGCCGGTGCTGGTTTGAGACTCGTGGCCGAGGAGCCGGTTCTGTCGGCTCCCACCAAAGCTAACGGGAACTTTAGCTCTTCAGTATGAAGCATTCCAGTGTTGGCTGGATAATAATCGGAGAAATCCCATTTAATCTCTGGTCTTTAGGGGTAGCTCTAAGGCAAAACCTGCTGAAGAGTTTCTGATTTGGGGTGTACAAAGATGGACAACAGCGTGGGCTTGCCTGCTGGCATTGCTAGCTCGGATCTCTAATACTGGATCCTCACATGTAAAACCTTTTTTTTTTTTTAAAGGCAAGGGTGATCCAATAAGCAACACTATCTTAATGTTACTCCTACTGCTTGCAGGCATAGTCTGCCCTAGAACAGATAGGGAGGGACTATGAAGAGCATGTGCATCCTTATTTTAAATGAGTACTGTCCCCATCCCTTACATTTTGTTGAAAGAGATGGACTTTTCAGGTTCATTCCTTTCTGAAATGCAGAGCAAATCTAAGTAGTAGTTTCCTGTCTCATGATAACTTGCAGTCAACCATAGGGTTGCAGGGGATGTGCTAATATCTATCAGAAGCCTTTGGGGTGTGACTCAATAAGGTGGCTCTTGCTCTGATCTCCCACCTCTGATGCATGTGTGGAGGTGTAAGCCTTATTTTACTGGCCATACCCTACTGGTGAGTCTCAAGAGAAGTTAGTGCTGTTTCTCTGTATGTATGGTACCAGCAGCTGCACTGAGTGTGATGTTCAGCGTAACAGTTTTAATTTTGAAGCAGCTTGTCTTTTTCTCAGAGCTCCCATGTGAAAATCTTTGCCACTGGCCCAGAGGCCCAGACCCTAAATGGCACATAGTTGTCCTGTCATCCTTGGTAGCGTGTGCCTGGTTGCATTTCTTTTAACATTGAAGGTGAGGTCTGGTTCTGACACTGTGTGTCTATCTCTGCTTTGGTGACTCAGTTTCCCCTTCTGTCCTGCAGCTTGGTTTCAGGGCATAGACTTAGAGTACGTGTTCTCACAACTGCTTTGAATTACAGGTATATTCTTTAATATGAGGCAAAGTGTGGCAACAGATGCTGAGAAGCAGAAGGCACTCCTATGGTGTATGCCACTAATGCAGAAGCATTTGTCTGAAGCACCATTTATAGGTGCATTTTAGGTCATCTGAGTTTTGTCTGGACTTCAGAAATAAATCAGTGGGAGTACTTTCCAGGAAACTGCTCTTCATTCTGGGCTTTTTCCCTTCTGTAGAGGTAAAGCAAATTGGTAGTTTAACTACTTTTTTTTTCTACTATTTTATTACCTCCTGATTCTTCAACCTGTTCCCTTTGCCCTCCCTCTCCCCACGCTTTCTGGATGCTGGGGCTGCATTGTGGTGCTGCCCTTCCCAAAGCCAGGGATAGGATGGATGCCAGTCACTCTGTGGAAACATAGAAGTCTACACTTGGAAAAACTGCACGGAGCAATACTACTGTGAGTGCTTCCACACAAGAAGATTGAGGATTAGGGGCTTTCTAGCCCAGCAAACCTATGAGGGCCAATGAAGGGAAGGGGGGACAGGCCAGCTTGGTACCTCCTGGGGAAATAGTATATGTAAAAAAAGGGCTCAAATGAGGTATCACCGTGGTTATTAATTTAATTTATTATTAATTTTATATTTATATTTTTATATTTATTATTAATTTCACTATTTATGTGTTTGCATGGTTGCCTGTGGATATGTCTGGAGAATGGTGGGAGCCAAGCCCCCCCAGCTGTTGGATGGCAGCAAACACTGCAGGTGCAGAGATGGGTCTAGGACCTCGCTCAAGCAAATGACACACACAGGGGTTGCTTGTCCCCAAAGGACCCCCAAAGGGTTGAGTCAGGAGCCTCTCTGGCCTGCTGGGTGGTGCTGGCATTGGCCAGTAAGGACCAGTCTGCGTATTCCATGGTTTGGGGTGGAGGTGACCAGGTCTGGGGTGATTTGGGAAGAACAATGCCATTTGGAGCTTGTGCTCTGCTGTTGTGTGAAGTGACTTTGAAGTGTAGCAGCCCCTAAGACA